ATGAAAATATCATATTGTTAATTTCCTTTCATGTGTAAACCAAAATGGAACTCCAGAGAGAAAACAAATTGTAAGACTTACTCAGTTTCATCGGATGTCATCGAAGTAGAAGTGCAGAGTCTCTCTCTCTCTCTCTCTCTACCCGCGTCTATAGTCTTCCTGAGTTTTGAGTACACACACATCGATTGAACATCGATGGTCGGCGTGAGCGACGATTGAACATCGATAAAGACTTATATAACAGATAAACCTTCGATTAAACCTTCGATAAAGACTTGAAGATAAAGACTTATAGTTGCGGTGATGGTCGACGATTAAACATCGATGGTCGGCGTGAGCGGGAGTCGAGCAAAACCAGCGAATCGATTGAATAGGGAGAACATATTGAGGGAGGGTTATGTGATACGAACTCGAAACCCTAGTTCAAACAATAGTCGATTTTGTGGCCCTATGAATGTAAAGTGTTCGATATCTTGTGAGAAATGAAGCGATAGAGATCGATCTATGGAGGATGTGAGTCGTTCTTTGAGGGATGAAAAAAACCCTAGTTTCCTAGACTTTGTGAGGACGGGGTTTTCTAGTTTTTAGATTCCTGCAAGATATTAAGGAGTGGCGGAGAAGCGGATCGGAGAGAAGAGAGGGGAGAGTAGACTGCGAAGATGAAAGATAGAAAGAAGGTAGAAGACGGGTTTTCAAAATTTTGGGGATTTCGTTTCCCCCTCTACTAAATGCGCGTTTCATTAAAATTATAAAGCGACAGGTATAGAGGACGCTCGTTTAAAATAAAGCGCCCTCCGTGTTTTTAATTTCTTTTCTAGAGACACTAATTTAAAGGCAGACAATAATGCGTGACATAAATCCTTCAAATTTTTGAAGAGATGACACTTTTTTAATGTCACTCTCTTTTGCGTAACATAAATCAATGAGTGTCGTGGTTTGTGCGTCGTAAAAGGGTCTTTTTATTGTAGTGTTAACACATAATAATGTGTGTAAATAAGATGAAACTAACATGAAAGTGTATAAAAACACTAGATTAACAAGAAAAGCTTACCAAAATTCTAAGAACAAGGTTGGAGAATTTGAACTTGGAGGACTTGGACTTGGTTCTTTGAGAGAAAATGAAGTAACAGAAAGTAATATGGAAATGGTGGGAGGGTTTGAGGATGATGTCATCCAAGATAAGGGCGGGGGGGGGGGGGGGGGGAAGGTGATGGGATATTTGCCTAGTTATTTGTTGGGTAATTACATGGATAAATGCTGGGTATTATTTTGTATTGGAAAAGGGGTGAAACATCAAGTCACAAAGTTAACCTTCCTTATCTACTTTTCTAGCCGAAATCTCCATGGACACCACTAAAATTATATGTGATTTCGGCCTATGCATCAACCGAAATCACATGTGATTTCGGTCTATGTTCCAACCGAAATCCCATGGTGATTTCGGTCCTAATGCTAACCAAAATCACATGGTTTTGGGGTCCTAGGCCGAAAACACTAATTGCCAGGGTTAAATCACGATTTGCTCTAACTTGTTGACTTTCAAGGCTCATTACAAGTATGATTTTTAAAGCATATATATTTACTTATACAAATGATGTCTTTTGGCTTTCAAGGATTTATTGCAACAAAGTTATGATGTGGTTTTACATTATACATAGATACATTGTAGACCTTGCTTGACCCAAAATTTGCCAGTTGTCACACAACACTAGTTAAAATACCTTTTGAATTGACAAAACATTTTTATTGAACAAATTTTGAAGAGATCCATTATAATCTGTCACACATTTCTTCACAGAGAGATAAGAACAACCATGCCCATCTGTAATTATTTTTTTATATTTATATATTTATTTATTTTGCAACTTTTTCATCTTGAAAAGAAGCATGCAATTCGTTTGACTTTGCTTGAACACTCAGACATTTAGACATGGCAATATACGGAATATCTCTCACTTTATCTCAGAATTCTATTTCCTGGTCAAATTGTTTTGCTAAAACCTTTTAAGCACAAATAACAATGGATCATATACATAATATTTCATTATAATGAGAGGGAACAACATATATATGCTTGAGAATTTCACCATCTCTCTCATATCTAGGAAATTAACCAGAGATCTTGGGTACCCAAATGAGATTGGGTGTTGAAACATACCTTACTTCTTCTGAAGATTTCTGATCTAAAAGAAGGACATTTGCGTCCAGGTTTTTGAACTCTTCTCTTCCTATTCTTCTTCTGATTTCGAGGTTCTGAGAAAGGTTTGAACTTCATAATCTTCAATAGATCTTAGAACAAAAAGTTCTAACCTCACTTTTGAATTTTTTTATCAGATAAAGAGATATTAGTTTCAAATGTCTGAACTCTTTTTTTCTTCTTCATCTTCATCTAATTTTAGAGTTTCTGAAGAAAGATTGAACTTCTGAATCTTGAATGTATCAGAAAACCTGCTCTGATACCAATTGAAGGTTTGTATAGATCGGATATAATCAAGTATGAATAATGAAAAACAGAAAAAGAACAGAAGAACAACATAATCACAAAGATACTTTCACTAAGAAAGAAGGGTTCTCAGAAAGAGAACAAGGTCACATAGACGGTCACTAAGACTTACATTAGTGTTTCACCCTAATGTTGAATATATATACAATTACAATAACTGAAATCCCACTAATCAAGGGATGTATACCTATCTAAGTAAAGATCTGATCCTAATCACTAAAATTACGGATCAGATATATATTCTATATATATACGTATAACTGCCTAATATACAAAAATCACCAAGATCATTGGTTCACGCTGGCACTGATAAGATCTAGTGTTGGTGTTGACACTGGCGTTGGTGGTCATCGTGTAGTGTTTGACTCATCAGATCATAAGGTGTGACCTTACAGAAGGTGATAACTATCGTACTAAACACCAACTAATTTTAAAGTTGCAAGATTTCACATAATGTCTTTTAAAGACGAATGAGTTGTACAACAACCTTAACATACAAAGGGGAAGCGGTCAATGTGATGAAGAAATTCTTTAAGAGCCTTTGCATTTGTTTCGCTAAGAAACGAGAAAGATGTTCAAATATAATGACTGTTGGAGGAGCACCTACAAAAAGAACAAAAAAAAGGCTTAAGTGGATACACAACTTCTTCCGATGCTCGTGTCGGGTTAGATTTAAATGATGACGACTCGCTCGATCTAGAAGAAACTGTCTGACTGATTGTTAGGGACAAAGCAAAAAAGGAAAGGGAATGAGTCTTCTTCCAATGCATCAGATTTCAGCAGAGAAGCAAACGAAATGCAGAAAATGACGAAGACATTTGATTGATACAATTTGAATTAAGCAGAACGTTTGACATTTGACAAAGAAAAATTTGCCAAAAAAGAAAAGACACGTTCGGAAAGAAAAGTAATGGAAGATATGCAATTCTTGATGCAAAATACTTACAATCTTTCGGGACAGACCCTCGAATTAGTTTTGAGGATGATGAAAAAAATAATGAAAAAATATTTCCCTAGATTGTTTCATGTTTTTTTAAATCTTATTTATTTTTTTATTATGTTTTCTAGGTTTTATTATGTAATTTTTATTTTAAATAATGAAATATTTCTATTTTTATTAATTTTTGTATTTATTAATCATTTTTAATAAATTATATTCATTTTTTAATTATCACCTTTAAAATTAAATTAATTTTATTTTTAAAAAATAAAAGTGAAAGGTGACCATTTCGTGGGTTTTAAAGAATAAAAGAAGAGTGAATAGAAAATTGATTGTGACACCGTTAAAATAAAATGTAGAAAATGAGCACACCTTGTGGTTTTACTCAACTCCCAAACAATGCAAGAAAAGTTGTCAAGATCACGATATTATATACGATCGTTTTCTGCTTTGCAAGATTGTGACGGTAAGATCGAATTGGATCGTAAGATCTTACTAAAAGCATTTTAAAACATAAAAAAAACACATGTTTATCCATCCGTTAGTCTAAGAAATTATTTTTGATTTTTTTTAAAACAAAAATAGTAACAATTCTACAATCCTACCGTTATCTTACCGAAAAACGATCCTAGTAAAATTATGATCGATTTACCTAAGTGAGATCGTAGGATCGTTAGGATACCAATTTTAAGAACCTTGAGATTCTAGTACTTTAAATTAGATACAATCTAATAAAACATGTACGTATCTCATGTTGTAAAAGCAAATGTTTCTATCTTAGGACAAATTACAACATAATATATTAAATGATGATTGGTCACCTTATACCTTATTTTGTTTAAAATCTCTCTCTAAATTAAATTACGATAGTTTGTCATCATAAATAAAGAAAATTAATGATTGCCGAATGAAATATAAGTTCTAGTTTTTATTAGTAATTACATTTGACACCTTTCGGTTTCAGTAACAGTACCCATAATACATAATTAACGAATGGTTAAATATTGTGTGATATCTAGTTGATATTTAACGTATTAAATACATGCCATAACAGGATGCAAAGTTGGCATTCAATATATTTATAATTCAATGGTCTTTGAACAATATAATAGAAAAAAAATACTATTTTTTTTTGAATTTTTTCAAATATGTATTTATTAAACTTTATAGAGTTCAATGCATTATTGTAATAAAATGATAAAATTGTATCAAATATCGAATCTTGATATGCCTTTTGGCCTTCATAACACTCCAATAGACAAATGTAAGATGACACCGTTCATATGCATTCAAAACTAAAGAAAGATGGCCTTATTTAAGATCAACCAGGCCAACAAGAGACGCAAAATCAGACAGTTCTGTGTCATTAGTTGCAACATCCAAATTTAGTTCTACATTCAGACGCCTAATTAAAACCCCATAATCAAAGAGACTTTGAAGAGTTCAAAACTCACAAAAAAAAAAAACAAAAAGAGAGAGGGAGAACAATAAACAAAAGAAAAATAGATACAAAGCAAAAACCGAGAAGCAAAAGGGTTACATTATAATGATTAATCTTTATGATTCATTGGGTTTAGGTATATGGGGTTGATCATCACGTTGTTGTTCACCTTCCCATGTCCAAACTATATCTTTCAAAGAAGGCTTCAACTCTTGGTTACAGAAGTTATTATACTCCAAGGTGTCGCCGGACAATTTCTTCATCTCCACCACATGAAACGATGGCGCCACCTCAAATATCTCAGCATCTATGGCTAACTGCCCTTTCCTTCCTTCCTTACTCCCTTGCAACCTCACTGTCCCATCTACCGATTTTGAAACCCCAAAACTCTCCGTCTCAGCTACTTGTTCAAGTTTTGACACAATCGCTGATGCAGGCTCTTTTGTTGTAAAACGAGCCTCTTTTTTCTGACCTGAACCACCCTCTTCAAACAAACCAGAAAGATTGAACCCTTGAGATAGCGATATGATATCAAACGCGTTCATAGACGTCGGCTTCAAAGCCTCTTTTGAACATGAAGGTGAAAAGGAAGAAAATGATGGTGATTGTGATAACATTGCTTTTGGATCGTCGAGTTCCTTAAGGTTATTATAACTTCCCTTTGGAGTATCCATGTATCTTATCGCATTTTCGTAATCAATAAAACTTTTTGATGGGCTTTCATTGGTGAATGATTTTGAGGCCTCAATTTTCTTGAATCCCTTTCGAAACCAAGGGTTTTCCATGAGTTTAGCCAATGTAATCCTTGTGCTTGGATTTGGATCAAGAATTTTCGAAAGTAATTTTTTTACCTCAGGAGCGAACCATTGTGGACATTTGAATTCCCCTTTGCTAATCTTTTTATACATTTCCATTAGATTGTTATCATGGAATGGGAGATAAGCAGCAAGCAGAACAAACAAGATCACCCCACACGACCAAATATCTGCCTTTTGGCCATCATATCCTTTCTTGTTAATCACCTCTGGGGCAACATAAGCCGGCGTTCCACACGTTGTATGCAATAGACCATCCTGTCTTCTTGACTCACACAATGCACTTAATCCAAAATCCGTGACTTTCAGGTTGCCAGATTCATCTAGGAGGAGGTTCTCAGGCTTGAGGTCACGGTGGTAGACACCACGGCTATGGCAAAAGTCCACAGCAGCTACCAGTTGTTGGAAATATTTCCTAGCGGCATCCTCCTTCAGCCTCCCTTTGGACACCTTATTGAAAAGCTCGCCACCTCTAACATATTCCATGGCAAAATAAATCTTGCTTTTGCTAGCCATTACTTCGTAAAGTTGGACCACATTTGGGTGTTTCACTAGCCTCATAACTGCGATCTCACGTTTAATTTGGTCAATCAATCCCACTTTCATAACCTGCTCTTTGTCTATCACCTTCACGGCGACGCTTTGATTGGTTTTCAGGTTTCTTGCATAATATACTTTTGCAAACGTCCCCTGACCAAGCAACCTTCCTATCTCATATCGTTGCATCAAGATCGTCCCTTTTTTGGTATCCATCATAAATTCTTTTGGTCCTTTCGGATCTAAATAGAACAGAAATGTAGATAGACAGATATATGGGTATATCAAGAACTAGAATGAATTCGCGATGGAAGGAAGTATTGGGTGTCAGAAATGGCAACCTTGCCTCAATTAGGCAAAGCTCCTGAAAACACAAACTTACGTCTTATGATGTAGAAGGGTAAGAGATGCAACCATGAAATGAAAGCAAAATCGAATCTAATTTCTCATCACCTCATCAAACAAGAGGATATTTTGGTTTAAAAATGGAAATTATTGATTGATTTGATGGCCATTAAAACTGTATATGAAACAAACGTTACTATATATACATGGCTAAATTTTCTAGTTTGATGTTAAAGGGAACCAGTCTTGGTCTTAGAGATTTGCGGAGTGAGGAGAAGACGAGACGAGCAACATGTGGTTCTGAATTAGGATTTTTTCCTTTACTTGTGCACATTAGTATTTGACTTTTTTCTGTTATAAGCTATTCAATTTTTAATTAATCAATAATATTCACCTAAATTTATCTACCGTTCGAATTAATTCGACATATATTATTACCCGTAAGTTCATTTATGTTTTCTTACCAAAAGGCCTTTGGCCTAGCGGTAAGGAGTGACCCTCTCAAATGACAGGTCATGGGTTGAAGTCTCTTAGGAGACATATGTGATATTTAGGAGTAGGTTTTAGATAGTTTTCCTTTTCAAAAAAATTTTTATGTTTTCTTCACATATGGTCGTATGGTTTAAATATCCATTTGATGGTTTCTATTTCATCTTGAAACACTTTAGTTATATTATTGTTAAAACTATGTATTGCTTAAGTTAATTTTAAGACAAAATTTCATAATTTGTCCCTATGGTTTACAAAATATCGCACTTTGAGTACTTCGTAGCAAAAAGTCACACCACTGGTTCTTATGGTTTCAGTTCATTGCGCGATTGGTCCTTGACCCTAACCCCGTCACTTTTGTACCGTTAGTGTAGGGGTATTTTTGTCTTTTCATCTCGCAGTCACTGTAATGCTTCATTATGCACATAATATACAAATGATCTTTGCAATTAATTACGAAGATCATCTTTCCCAGCTACCCATTATCCTTTCGCATTCATCATCATCTTCTCCAACGCAACGCAATGAAAGGATCATCTTCCAGTTCGATTGAAAACGATAATGGTGTTAACGTTATGGTCGGTCCGTTCCAAACACATGAAAGCATCAAATTATGTTTTGGAAAGGTTATACCGTAAGTTACTTACTAACGTGATCATACATTTTGTCGATTTGGAAATACGCCCAAACAGTTGATTTTTTTTTTTGTTGTTGTTGTTTGTTTCAGAGGGAATAAGCAACTACTTTACACTAAAAATCCATCACGGTGGGATATTCACGAAAAGCCCTGGGAGAAGGTATATAGATGGAAAATTGGTTCGTAGATATTGACGTTTTCTCCGTGCATGAGTTGGATACAATGGTTCAGGAAATACGGTACGTAGAAGGACAAAATTTGTATTATCATTTTCTTATTCCAGAAGTAGAGTTGGACTTTGGTCTCTTACCTCTAGGAAACGATGGGGATGTGCATGTATTGTCATCTTATGTGGAAAAAAATAACCTATTAAGGATCTACATAGAGCATGGGCATACAAGGGTTAACAATTATTTTTTATCCCTAACAAAGGTTATTATTGAGGACTTGGTTAATGATGTGTCCCCTGACCTAGATAGGAACCAAAAGAAGGGAAAATATGTTGGGTCTTCTAGGAAAAAACTAGACTACTCCTAGTCCATTGTGCCATATGGAACATTTGGTGGACCTTCCCAAGTGATACAGGGTAATGAGCCACTCATGGGTGATGAGTCAGTCATGAATGATGAGCCGATCATTAAGGATGAGCCAATCATAGATAATGAACCAGTTATAGATGATGAATATGATTGCGAGTATAGTGAATATGAAAGTGAATTGGAAGATGATCCTTGCCTTGCGTTGCGTTGGAGAAGACGATGATGAATGCGAAAGGATAATGGGTAGCTGGGAAAGATGATATCTCCAATTAATTCCAAAGATCATCCGTATATTATGTGCATAAGGAAGGATTACAATGACTGCGAGATGAAAAGATAAAAACACCCCTGCACTAACGGTACAAAAGTGACGGGGTTAGGGCCAAGGACCAAGGACCAATCGTGCAATGAACTGAAACCATAAGGACCAGTGACGTAACTTTTTGATAGGAAGTCCTTAAAATGCGATATTCTGTAAACCATAGAGACCAATTGTGAAATTTTGGCTAGTTTTAATTCTTTAAGAGTAAATACAGTTTTGGTCCCTATGGTTTGGTCAGATTCACACTTTCAGTCCAACCTTTAAAAATTTAACAAGATGCATCCCTGTGGTTTAAAGAAATTGCAATGTACATCCTTAGTCCATTTAAAAAGACCATGTTACCATTTCTTTTATATTTTTGTTTTTCTTATATATATATATATATATATATATATATATATATATATATATATATATATATATATATATATATATATATATATATATATATATATATATATATATATATATAAGATAATTGACATCAAACATCCATCCATTCTGATGGATTCAAATCCTGCACCCATTCATATGATGGTCTGAAGGGCAGATTATGTGTTAATTGCAGGTATTAGAATGTAGTTAATAGAAAATGGTGGAGCACCTGATTTAATGCGACGCTGATCAGTTTGCTATGTTGAGGTAAGGATATTCCTTGGTTATTGTCATCCTGGTATCACCAAGAAACATAAGTCGGTACTATCTAGGGCTCGAATGGTTCTATCAGCCAGTTTCAAGACAAAACCTCTTAGCAGAAACTGAATGTTGTTCCTTTTACTTGAAGGGATACAGAAGGGGCGATTCGTATGAATTGTGGAGTTAAAGATTGGTGGTGGCGTGATTGATGATCGGTAATGGCGATGTAGAGAAAATTTCATCCACTTCATAAATGAAATTAGATGGTGGATGGTGGAACCCAGTCAGAGCACCGATTTAGGGTTCGAGAGTAAAATTGTGGGGTAACCAGAGTACACCAAAGTTACATTGAATATTTTTTCAATTATAAAGATACAACTGAAAGAAATCAGAGAGAGGCAGTGAGAATGTGGGATTCGTAGACGGTCGAAGGCGATACATCTGATGGTTTTAAGGTGTATTGATCGAAATAGAGAAAAAGACGAAGTTCCCTTTTTTAAAAGTGAGACACTTGATTGGAAGCATAGGCGGTGAGAGCAGGCAAGCGGGTAGAAAACAAAACATGTGTATTGGGAGGGAGCAGATTTGTCAATCTCCAAAATTTTTGTAACAAAAACCTGAAACATACAAAGTAACTGTGTAACACCAGATTCAAGATATTTTTCATTTTGACCCCTACTGTGTAATTAGTTTTCAATTTTTTCCCTTAGGAGCATTATTGTAATTTTTGGCAGGGGAGTGCGTACGTTAGGCGTACGTAACTGTAACGCCCTGTTCCGAATTGACTCCTAGTCTGAGGTTGTGACCCGGAGGTTGATCATCATAAGAATTATGGCTTTCGAAAAGGTAAGATCTAGGCCCATTTGGGTGCGAGTGATGTATTAGAAGTGATCCGGATGTTCGGTTCGTGTTTTGGAGCCTAGGAGTGTTTCGGTAAAGTGTCAGTTTGGGCTTTTGTGGGAATGGACTTTTGTTCGGAAGGTCTTAAGGAAGATATGAGTTGATAGAAGTTTATGGCTTCTCGTCACCTTTCTGTGGATATAAGGATCGTTGGAATCGGGTTTATAACGAAGAAGTTATGGCCTTCAGAAGTTTCATGGTTTTTCAGGCTTAGCCGAGTACACGGGGCGTACACAAAGAGTACGCGAGGCGTACTAGTGAAGAAGGCAGTATGCTGGGCATACCTTGGAGTACGTTGGGCGTATTGACCAGGATGGCCGCGAATGTTCTTCAGAGTATGCTGCGCGTACCAGAATTACGTCGGGCGTACGCCAATCAGATCAGAGCCCTATTTTAGGGTCTTGGACCCTATTTAAGCTCCTTATCTCATAACCTAACCCTAATATCTTCAGCCTCCACCCTCTAACCCCTAGAAATCGACCCTTAGCCCTCATTTGAGTGATTTTGGAGCTTGGATGGCCATCAGAGGAGTATTTTGGTGTTTTTGAAAAGAAGGTGTTTGGAGAAGAAGCAAGAGATTGAAGAGAGCTTGTAGATCCAGAGGTTTTACATAATTTCTATCATATTGAAGGTATAAAGTTCTCATCTTGGTGCTTCTATATCATAGATCTAGGTTCTCATGGATATTGTCCCTTTTTGGTTTCAAGAATGGATTTTTATGGTGCAAATCCGTTTCTGGACTTAGGGTTGCCACCCTTGAAGCTTAAAGTGTTCCTTTAGCAGTAAAGTTTCAAGCTTTGAGGCCTTTATGTAGCCATGCATGAGATCTAGCCAATTATATGGAAGTTTATTGCTATATTTAGAGTTGCAAGCCACCAAGTGATCGACTGTATGGGTTAGGGCGAAGTATTGGACTTAGATCTGTAGTTTGGACGTAGTGTCTTAAGGGATTAAGCAGTTTTAGAGAAAGTGGCTTAACAGGAGAGTACGCTGGGTGTACACGCCAGTACGCGCAACGTACAAGCCATTCAAGCAGTACGCGCAGCGTACAGAAGGGTACGCTCAGCGTACGCTCAGCCAGTGGGCTTTATGTTATTGGGCCTCGGTTTGGGCCAAGCTTTGGACATAGCAGTAATTGGGCCGTGATGGGCCTTCAGGAGTCAGTTTAGGGCCCACGAACTAGTTGGGCTTGAGAGGAAAGCCCATTTGAGGAGTTGGGCCCAATTTAGAAAATTGGGCCACTTGGGGACTTTAATGGGATTTAATAAGTTTGAAAGGACTAGAAAAGATTGGGCCTAGGTCATGGCCCAAATTAGATAAAAAGGGGTAAAACAGTCATTTTACCCTTAGA